GGAGAAGAAATGATAGCTTGTGTGCAGATGCGGAACCAGTTCAAAGTGTTGTCAGTGAACATAATGTGTCGCCGAACCTCTTTATTCCACTGCAAGGAATGAATAGTAATACTAATATATTGATATTCTTCAAATGCTAGTCGATGGGATCCAGAGGATTCCAACTGGGCATCCATTACGTCCCTATCTAGCTCAAATCAGTGGTGAAAGTCGCTATAGCAGTGTAATCTCCAAGTATGACCACTGGAAACGCCTTTCTAATTCAATCCGGATTCAACCAACACTTAATTTCGAAGAAGTGATGCCTCGACATGCGTAACATGCATCCTAATCATCTTTATACATTGTCCAACTTTAAACTTAGAGTCGAACAGTGATAGTTTTTTGACACCCGCATTAATTTACTAAAGAAGCATGGAAAATATACTCAAATTTTTACTCAGGACCTTCATTGTTTTATTCCTGTACGTTCCCAGTGGAAAATAAGGCTTCAAGATAGAGGCTTGAAGTTTCGGTGGTAGCAGTTATTTATTTAAACGCAGAAAAACTTGGTACAATATGGCACCAAGAAAGATGCGCCACACAATAATAATAAAACAACATAGATTAAAAGTTAAAATATAAGTAGAAAACGGATAAAGAACTTCATCTGGAAGGAAAACAGTCATGTTTAACAAGTTCAAACAGTATTCGTTAACTATCATCAGGAAGGGAAGAAAGAAGGAAATTGCAACACGTTCGCCGTTGATTACGATTCTTGGCCATATCCGATAACGTTTCGAGCCATCGATTCGAGCTATCTCGCGGGCCCCAACCAGGGAGTCGTGACGCACTAACCAATGCTAACCTAGCACAAATATCCTTCATCCCACAACTCCGCGTCATGGACTGACCACCCATCCGCCTTTTCCATCCCGTCCCAGGGCTAGCGAACAGAGACCTGTACGGAAGCCTCTGGGATGACATTCGCAGCACATGTCCAAGCCACCGGAGCTGGTGTTTCCAGATGACGACACTCAATGAATGGTGATCTCCACTGTGTTCAAACACACGCCGCCGAACCTCAGAATTACTCACGCGATGATGCCATTGAACGCAAGCAATCCTGCGGAGACAGCGATGATAGAACACGCAGAGCCGCCGCACATCTTCAGCTCGGAGAGGCCAGGTTTCACAGGCGTAGAGCAAGACAGCCTGCACCGAAGCATTGTATACCCGACCTTTGACAGCCAGGCTAACGTCGTGACGGCGCCAGAGGTGGCTCAAGTTGATGCATGCCACCCTAGCCTTCATTATACGGTTGGAAATCTCATCCGTCACCCATCTGCCAGCACTCACACAATTACCCAGATACACAAACTTATCAACAACTTCAAGCGGTTCACCAGCAAGCGTCAGTGCAGGTACAGGCTCCTGCCAATCTTGTAACAGTACTTTGCACTTAGACGGTGCAAAGCACATACCATATTTACAGACACTGATCACTAACTGATTAAGTGCGATTTGGGCAGCCTGCATGCTATCGCACAGTAAGACGATATCGTCTGCATACTCGAGGTCGAAAAGTCTATCTCCAGGTAGCAGATCTACACCACCTTCACGCAAATTCTTCAGAGCTGACTCCAGAATGTCATCGATGGCAAAGTTAAAGAGAAATGGTAGCGGTGGTGTCTGCTTTTATGGGATGGAGTTGTTAGCCTCATGCCCAACCTTCCCTCTTTACCTCCCATTACTGGCTCAGTGAGGTAAAGGAGTACGTCGGCTGGGAATGGAACCCCGGACCACACGCGTGGTTGACGACCATTTTACCGCTGTGCCAGAGACGCCCAGGACCTTCATAATAATATGTTTTTCTACGTTAGTACAGACTGCGTATTGTAGTTCAGATAGCTATTTGTCTGGCAGCACCTCAATTCCTGAGACATCGAAGTCGACTGAGGTTATGTCTTTGGCAATCACCAGTGGTTGTTACTCCTGGCAACTCATAGGGTTGTATGAATTCAAGTGAAACCTTGATAGGCATAATACACTGCCTTGAGGAGTACTTCCTAGTGCTCGTCTGAAACCTGTTTGTCTACCCGAACCCCACTAAGACCTCATATGAATAGTGACTGTGTTGTGCTAGACACCTTTTCATGTGATCACGTTAAAGATAGCTCTTACAACTTAGGCAGGTGTTGGAAGACTAATATCTGTGCTCCGTTCACGCTAGGGTTAGGACATGTGTTACGTATGTCTAGTCATCGCCTCCCTCGACGAGCAATGTTAGCTGACATAGGGTCAGGCTGGTAGGGAGCTAGCACGTGATGGTCAAGCCAAAATATGGCCTTAGAAGTCAATGAAATCTACAACAGTTAATCTAAGCCACGTAGGAATGTGTAGACTTCCTGACTGGTTGGGGTCCTCGGAACGGTAAAGATCAATGGCTGGAGACAATCGGTGATATGGCTCAAAATAGTTCTCACTCCTTGTGACTTATAATTTCCACTGAAACTATGTTGTTCTTCGTTATAATTATTCCTTTTGTCTCATAGCCTTGACTACTGCCTCTATTTTGCATTCCTTTTTACTTTCTTCTCTTGCTTTGTGTGCTACAAGGAGGGAGTGTGGCGACATGAACTGCAGCACATCGGTGCAAAGTTCTATATTGAAAACAGATAGACAGACAGACGCTAGGGTTGATAAGAGGACAAATTAAACAGCCCGAAGTAATCTGCTTAATATTCCAGCCATTCCTCCCCTACAAGGTCATCTTGAATCTTTATCCCCACTCACGACTTTTCCCCGTACCATTAATACCCTAGGACACTTCGTCCTAATAAGCCACAGCACTTGACGATTATTTTCGTCTAATGTTCATGCCTATCACGTTACATCAGACACATCTGTCAGAGGTCGTTATGGAGACATTCAAATAGGGTTCATCACAATAAAGGATTTTGTATTTCCCAATGAATGAAAAACAAAACGATATTGTTGGTTTTACTGACGTTTCGCTATTTAATGCTAATAGCTTTATCAAAGTAGTATTATTAAACCGGAATTTACAAAATCTCAGCATATATATAACAAAGAGTTAAGGGGTGAGAAAATAGACTTAGGTCAAGTTAAAAGGATATATTGAAAGTCAAAATAACAATGAAGATCACTAAACCAAATACCAAAGGTAATAGTACGTCTGTTATGATATCAAAATAAAGTTCGTCAGTCTGCGGTCATTTTACGTTGTCAGATTGACCAATTAATAAAGATAACAAAGCCAGATGTAGATTGTTGGATTCGATAAGCGTGTAAAATTGTAAAAGCAGTGTGTGTATACATAATGAAATTCCTTATCACATTCGTGCTGATTTTGTCACTTCATGGGGGAGGGAGGTGTTGCAACCAGGTCAGATTCTGTTTTAGTCCATCATTCCTATTCAGCTCAGATAATTTGGATTCCACTTGATATGAAGTGCTTCTGATGATATTAGACGTTCTTTGTAATTTCTGAAGTTTTTCTGGATGATGATTTCAATACTGTCAAAATCAATTTTGTGGCCTGATTCTATAGCGTGTAGACAAGCTATGCCTGGTGATTTTTCACGTTTTTCTAGTTCAACCGGATTTCTCAGTGGTCGAAGAGATGCTCTACGGTGTTCATTTCTTCTGATTACAATGATTTCTCGAGATGTTTGTCCGATGTATATCGCATCACAATCCAAGCATTTTATTTTATCGACACAATTAGATAGGAAATCTTTAGGGATTTGGTCTTTTATATGGACAAGGTTGTTTCGCAGTATGTCTGATGTTTCGAATAGGGTTCATTGAGAAATTTCTTAACACTCATCATTTCAGATCGGGGTTAAGAAATTCAATAGTGTCAATCTTATTTTCTTTCAATTGTGATCATAAACTGACATCAGTTAGAGAACTCTGAATCTACCGCGGTAATACGTTTTACTTATTATTCTACCTCTTATTATTATTATTGTTATTATTATTATTATTGTAACTATTACTTAATGATATTACTCTGTTTGCAATTCTTGAAATATTCTCTAATGACTAATTGTTTATCTAAGTGTTGTGATTGAGGCGTAATGCATTTTATCTTAATTTCAAACTCTCATACTCCTTCTCCCCTTATCTATTTGAACATGACTTGGAAAATATTCGCACGTGTCTTTCTGTATGACTAATCCAATGTAGTTTATTTGCTTATCAGTTTTATATCTCCCAATGTAATTTCAAAAGTACACATATATCCGTGTATATAGAGTACTGAGCAGCTGACGAGTTCTACCGAAATTTGATGAATCCATCATTAAATCCTGCTTTATTAACCTGCTTTGTTGCTTGTTTTAAATTCGTATCGGGAAATAAATGTTTTCAATTCAGTTAGAGAACCACTGAAAACTGATGGATATTGAATACCTCCCCCCCACCTCCTTCTGGTATGGGACTCTTCACCAGTAGGCATTCATGACACTAGCAAGGATCTAATGCAATCCACAACCTTCAAGTGACGAATCGAACACGTCAAACACCGCGACGGAATCTAATGACCAATGCATGAATTCTACCTTCTGTTTTTACTCATCACTCCCCAACTTCATTTAAACGCTAATCCCATGATTTAGTGAAGCAATTTCTGAGAAAAAATTGTATTAACTGTTTATAGCAACGCAAAGCTATATATATATATACGGGTTCGAATCTCCGAAGGGACATGACTTCCTTCAAGGCAGTTGCAGATACACCTTGCTGACGAGTGCCAACCAGCACGAAGCCTAGGTCAGACAAGGCTTCCTGTGGCCGATTGCCCCCAACTATCTAATATCATCAAATCAATGTGCACCGCGATGGCGAGCTACCTAGTGGTATGGTGCCCACATTGCCAACCTGACTGACTGATAGAATTCAGTATGCACCAAAGAAAGGACTAGAAACATCACACTAGTTACTGAAAATATATACACAACATCAGAAAATTAAAAAAAAATACACAGATTGAAGCAATCTTTAAAAAATAATAATATTAGTAGCTATGCTTTCATTTGTACAGAGTAACAAAGTAACCATCAGCATTAATTATATGACGTCTTCTTCACAACCAGACATCTTCTTGATAGCGTTTAGATTTACGCATTTCTTGTAGATACATCTGAGCGTTTTTCAATTCTTCACTAGTTAACTCTGTATATGTACACCAATTACTTGTTTGTACCCAGTGAAGTTTCATAGCTAATAACTTGATCCAAGCTTGGAAAACCCCGGTGGCTAAACCACGTGCATCACCACAAACCATTATCTTTGCGTTTCGATCATAAACAAGATGCATTAGTTCAATATCATGCTCAGATGGAGTAGTATTGCTAGCCGAGTCAGTATGGTGGATACACTCTTGAACATAATGTGATTTTAGCGGGAAACAAGCTTGTTCGCGTAATACTGATGGCAGGTCGGCAAGGGTATATTTGTCATCTACTGAATTGACAGTATCTCTGGAGAAACAAAGGCATAAATGTTTTAACAGCTTAGTATTGACAGCATCTGATAATTCTTCTTTGAAAAGAAGACTAGTTGTTGGAGAACGACATCCATAGATTAACCACCAACATAAGTTATTGGTTGACGATCCCGTCTAGAGAAATAAAACAAACGAAAATAACTTCATGCAATTCTTCCCATTAATAAACTTGAACAAAGCAAGAACAACAATTGTACCAGAAGATAATATGAGCTCATCTTTTATTATTATTTCGAGGATTCTTCTCAACTGGTTACAACCTGAACGATAAAAAATATTTTCTATAGTTTGGTTTGTAAGTGCTAGTTTTGTTTTTACGAGTTTGACCACGGACTGCTATCAGTTAGAGAACCATTGAAAACAAGGGAGTACTGGACAGCTATTTCATCCTAGTTCGGGAATCATCGGCAGTACGCAACCACTGGGATTCGAACCCAGGACCTACCGGTTACAAGGAAAGCTCGTATACCATTCAGCCACTGGGACCCGATTCAATGGCTAGCCCATGAATTCTAACTTCTGCCAATTCGTGATTTAGCGCGACCCTTGCCTTGTAACCGGAAGGTCCTGAAGTCGAATCCCAGTGGGTGCGTACTGCCGATGATTCTCAAACTAGGATGAAACAGCGGCTGCCCATTACTCCCTGGTTTTCAATGGTTCTCTAACTGATATCAGTCCGCGATCAACTGATAAAAAATATGAATTACATTAAAGATTTGAACATACTTTTCCACGATCACAAGGAGTAAGTAATTGGTAGGAAGTAAAAGTAAGATTAGTCAGGAATGATTTAACTAATAACGAGTTGCAAACACTGACTATTTATAGAATAATTAGACAATTGCGCTTGAAAACAAAAACAGAGTTGCACATATACATTTGTGTGTATAGAAACAAGGTTTAGCTAGAAAGAGCATAAGAAAAAAGTAGATTACGTAACTAAAGAAAATATTTTTTCTAATAGCCAATCGAAAAAAAAGAAGAGAAAAGAACAAGATAGGGTGAGTCATGTTTAGATGAGAGAGTAGAGTTTTCTAAACAAGAAAAAGGGTGACTCATAAAAGTTGCATTGCGACAAACAGTGGGTAATGAGCAAACAGGCATAAAATGGACTCACACAAAAAACTTCAAGGATCTGGACTTCGCCAATGATATATGTCTGATTTCCCACAAGCTGGAAGATATGCAAGCGAAAAGCAACAAGTTGGCAGAAGAAACATCCAGAGAAGATAGGACTTCAGGTGAACATAGAGAAAACAGAGGTGATGAAGATTCCTGGCCAACAGCAACAGCAACAACAACAGACAATAATCAGCATAAATGAGAGGAACCTGAAAGAAATAACCTCCTTCACCTACCAACCTGGGAAGCATCGTTTCAATTACAGGCGGAACTGACGAGGATATCAAAGCAAGAATCGGGAAAGCAAGACAAGCTTTCACTACTCTCAAGCCTGTGTGGAGGTCAACAACTCTCAGCATCAAAAATAAGATCCGGATTTTCAACTCCAATGTGAAGTCAGTGCTACTTACTATACGGATCAGAGACTTGGCCAGCGCGTCATAAAGAGCATCTCAAACAAACTACACACTTTCATTAACAGTTGTCTTCGCTCAATACTCAAGATCAGATGGCCGGCCAGAAAAGATCAGCAACAGAGATCTCTGGGAGCGAACCTACCCAGCAGGAACCGATTGTGAAACAAATAGGCAGGAAGAAATGGAGATGGATTGGCCATACTCTGAGGAAACCATCAAGTGACATCACTAGACAAGCCATTGCTCGAGTGGAACCCGAAAGGGAAGTGGCGAGTTGGTCGTCAGTGCAAGGGTGACTTGGAGGAGGTCATGTGAAGAGGAGATGAAAACGTGTGGGTAGACTTGGAGCCAGGTGAAGACTCTAGCAGAGAACCAAACGCAATGGAGACGCACGGCTGAAGCCCTATGTCCCTGTAGGAATTAAAGGAAACAATAATAATAATATAAAAGTTGTATATTTTTTTGTTATCATCAGGGCAGTGCAAGATTCACCACTGTCTCTTTCTGCGTACATAGATTTGGTTTAAGTCATGTGATAGCAATTGCTTCAGCAAAACGTAGCAAGTTAGGTTTCTTTTGCTTGTTGATTATTTTGAATGACTGCAGGGTGTCTATAATATGGCCCGTGTCTAATAGATGACGAGCAATCACACTGTTTAATGCTTGTGGACCTTTCAGTCTCAGGTTCTTTGGTATGTGTTCAGAAATGCGGACAATAACCCTTCTCTCTGTTCTTCCGATGTAAGTGCTTTGGCACGTACATGTAAATTGGTAGACACAGTTGGAGGTAACATGAGGTGGGTATTTGTCCACTTCTGATTGTCTCAAACAACTAGTTGTTTGATAAACACATACAAGCTTGGCGGCTGGATATGTTTTTTTTCAGGGCAGTGTTCAGTCTGCACCTTATTCTACTAGCAGTATCATCACCTTATTTCTATACACACACATAGATACGCAACTCTTAATTAGTTAAATCATTCCGGACTAATGTTACTTTTACTTCCTACCAATTACTTACTCCTTGTGACCGTGGAAAAGTGAATTCACATCTTTAATGTAATTTTTATTTTTTATCGTTCAGGTTGTAACCGATTGAGAAGAATCCTCGAAATAATAAAAGACGAGCTCATATAATCTTCTGGTAAAACAAAATAAACCATATACCATTTGATTCATGGAATATCCCATTTTATAAAACGTATATAGAAAGAGAAGACACAATATACAGTGAAGAGGCCCACTCCGGAGAATTTATTCATATACTACAGCTACATTAATCGAAATCATAAAACAACCCAAAAAGTATGGTGGAGGTATGTAGATGATACATTCACTGTACTTAGAACACAGGATATGCACAGATTTTTCGGACACATTATAACTCAAAGGCGGAGGCGATTCAATTCACTTATGAATTGGAAAGTCAGGAAGGGGAACTTCTAATATTAGAGATTGTAGAGTAAAAAGGAAAGAAGATGGGGAGTCGAACACACTAGTGTGTTTACACGAAACCCACATATTCAAACAGATATTTGGACTTCCGATCATCCCATCCTATGTCAGTGAAAATAGGATTGGTGAAATGTTTAAGTGAAAGAGCACAAAAACTAAGTAGTACGAAGGAAAATCTAAGATAGGAAGTGAGACATATAAGAGATGCCTTAAATCTTAATAATTATCCTGACAAATTAGTCAGAAGGTATGTTGCGAAATATAAAATAAAATAAATAATGATAGTAGTGTTAGTGATAATGATAATAGTAATCATAATAATATTAATAATAATAGTAATGCTAATGACAGCATGCATGTCAAGCATGCACGGAATAATGACAATGAGGAATCTAAATCATCAGTAGTAATTCCATACAAAGAAAAAACCTTGAAAACCTTACGGAGAATTCTTAACAAAGCGGGAATAAAAGCGGTTGGCATTCAAAACACCCACAAACTCAATCAGAAACAATCTTTGTCGGCTAAAGGATCCTGCCAGTGGAGCCGTTAAAACAAAACAATTCAGTTTATCTAATACCCTGCCTGCATTGATTGTCAGGTCAAATACATACGGTCAAAGTGAGTAGAACAGGTGCAGTCAAACTGGCCGAACATAAAAACCTAGCAAATCTAGATTAGTTAACCATAATTAGATAAGAAATCTAGAGAATAGTTCAGCTATACCACTCACCACATGCAATTACACACAACGATACAATAGGATGGATGGGATAAGATGACAGTTTCAAAATCTAATACAACTAACATGGTGGAGGGGGAGATTGATAACAGAATCAACTGAAGAGAATACGTGTAACAGGAGTGATTTAATACCTGTCCACCCATAAATCTGGAAAATTCTACTACCGCGATGGCAACAAATAGGAGAGCGAATCCATGATGTGTATTTCATCCTGTTTGGGACTCGTCCGCCAGTTTGACGTATCTGCCTTCCTCAATGAGTGAGTGAATGGTGGTGTTCCCGACCATGTGCATGGTCGGCTAGAATCCTAACCGCTGTGCCACCGACGCACATGAAATCCGAATTCAAAGGAGACTTAGCGGCCGACGTTTTTTAGAGAAGGATATCGAACCCCTTGAAAGAAAAAATCCCTGAAGCATCAATGAGGGCAGTATTTTCTAATCATCTCAAGGATAAGACACCGTGATAGATGAATTCTGTATGCAGACACCATTAAATCTGATCCTGAAGGAATATGTCGGTCGTCCAACGCGCATTTCGATCAAGACAGTGCAGGAACAGTGACCACCTGTGTGGTTATGAAGACGCAGAAGTGTCTCTATAAAAAAAGTGCACTAATTGAACATTATGTCCCTACTGATTGTATTTACCCTTTCTGGCTAACTGATCTTCAATATCGAACGACGGCAGCAGGTGCTGATAGAAGTCTGCAGCAGTTTGGTGGAAATGCTTTTGACGGCACATACCAAACCTCCGGAACATATTCAAGCACTAACATAACAACATCACAATAAAACACAAAATAATTGAGTAAAGAATATCCTTTTCGATAATTTCCACTTCTGGCTCTACAATTATATATGTATGTTTACATACACAGAGTATTCTAGAATAGTAGTCAATAACAATATTGGTGTGATTTTTTAAAAATAATATCGATTTGTAAAGTAAGATCACAATGGAATTACAGTTCATTAAAGATGCTTAAATTATAATAATGATAATAAAGATATAACAGCAAATAGAAGATGAAGTAAAATTAAGGAGATTTCTACAAAAAATTGATGATCATTCAAACCTAGATGGCGAAGGTAAGGATAATGTCTCAACTAGCTTCTTTTAGACACATAAATCAGGCTTCTTAATGTGGATCCCAACAGCAAGTCTCAGCAATACTTCGAAAGCGAACTCTTAAGGCGAAGTTAAGATATGAGGTGTGGTATACGGTAAATGACTTTAAAAGCTGCCTTGTTGACATCAATCTTGTTTTCTGTATCCACAAGATGAGATAGAACAGCGCTATGCGAATAGATTTTCTTTTTCCTTTGCTTAACCAAACAGGGTGATGTTCGGAAATTCGACGAGAAACACGCCTAATTGTACGGCCTATGCAACTAACTGGCTCACTCCTCAGAAGCAGTCACAATACAAAATTCTGATTTTGTTCCTTATGTCGATTACAGTCGATTTCCATACAGATTTTAGAGTGATGAAGGTTCATATTGCTTTTCCGATCCTCGCTTGCTTTGACATCCTCATCTGTGCCGCCTGTAATTGGAAAGATACTGTCTAGATCAGGTAAGTGGGACAGGTAACTTCGTTTAGATTTCTCCAGCAGATGGTTATTGCTGCTTGTTGTCGTTTATTGAATATCTTAACCACCTCCGTCTTCTTTATGTTCAAAGACGACAGAGATGGTCTTTAAAGCACAGAAAGAATGCTGTAAATAGTGGATAGATAAAACAATGTGACAGGAAACACATGTTTATCTAATACCTGCTAACACAGCAGAAGAGGTTCTAGTACAATGTGCATTAACCCTGAAAAATTAAAAGAAGGCAAAATCAAACTTAACAAAATCAGAAAGACTAGCTCTAATTAGTCTAAAACAGGATAAAAAACATTGTCATTGCAAAAGCTGACAAATGAAACGCCACCGTAGTTTTGAAAAAATCTGACTATATCAAAAAAGTCACTGAACATATTCAGACGGGTCCATATGAGGAAATTAAGAAACCTGTAGATACAGTAATGAATAAGGTTAAGAAATCTACAGCGGAATTAATATGCAGAATGAAGCTGTGACTGGGTGAGTCTAAATGGTTTAATTTAATGCCTAAAACTACTAATGCTAGTAGAATGTATGGTACTATTAAAATACATAACTCAAGTAACCCCATACGACCAATAGTATATTTCAGAAATACCCCTACTTATGAATTATCAAAACACTTAGCTCATATGAGATGAAAAATAAACTAAATGACATTCAACTAGAGAATGATGAAACAATGGTTAGTTTTGATATAACTAGTCTTTATACTAGCATAACAATCAATATGGCCTAAGAAGCAGTTAAAAAGAACTAACTGCAGATCCTGAACTCACTCATAGAACGAAGCTGCCCAATTGAGAAAATTATTTTAGGAATTCAGTTACGCCTCACATCTACTATCTTTAAATTCCAGGGCAAAATATATAAACAAACAGATGGTGTAGCGATGGGATCACCAATATCCCTTATCGTAGCAGATATCTTTATGGACAGCTGGGAAAATATTGCCCTAAATACATTTAATCCTACTCCGAAAATATGGTGGAGATATGTGCATGACACTTTCACATACAGTTTTAAAAACAGAACATATCTCTAGCTTCTTGACGCACATAAACTCACTAGTAGAGGGAATAAAATTCACATTTGAATCGAAAAATCACCAAGGAGAGTTAGCTATGATGTTAGATTGTAAAATAAAACGAATAGAAGAAGGCAAGCTGCACACTAGGCCTTTATAAAAAACCAGCACATTCTAATAGATATTTAGACTTCAATTCATCTCATCCGTTATCTGTCTTTACAGACTGGCTTAGTTAATTGTCTAGAAAACCAAGCAATAGCACTAAGTAGTACAAGAAAAGACCTAAATGACGAAGTAAAACATATCAAAGAAGAGGCGTTGGTGTTAAATAACTAACTATCCTATAAAATTCATTAGGAAGATCAGTAAAGGCCAAAATTTTTAATTTTGATTTACAGCTTGATGCCACACCGTATTTTCAGTACAAGTATGGAATTTTCAGCATGGATATCGGTAGCCCAAATTTTGCAGGCCGACCATAGATATCAGGTGTGCGTCGGCAGCGAATCGAAACCCGGACCATGTGCATGGTCGGCGAGAATCCTAACCACTGTGCCACCGACGCAAAATAAAAATCATTGTGAAACTAGTAATGATAACATAAATAAGAGAGAATATAAGGCATCTACCGTCCCCACTTAGGATTCTCAATAAAGGAGGAATTAGAGTGGTGGCATTCAAACCTACAAACTCACTCAGGAACAAGCTATGTAGGCTAAAAGACCCGGTGGACCCCACTAGACAAAATAATATAATTTACAAAATACCTTGCAATGACTGTGAGTGAGGTCAACTACATTGATCAAACTAGTAGATCGGAGTAATCAGATTCTCGGAACATAAGAATTTAGCTAAGGTAAGAATGATTGACCCCACCCGAGAAGATAAGTAATTTAGAAAAAGGTCACCAGCAATTGTACTGCATGCATTAACAGACAACCACACAATAGGGTGGGAGAGGGTTAAGATTCTAAAAAGTAATATAGATAGGTGGAGCGCGAGAGAAATTGATTACTGAATCCTGGTTCATCGAGTCTACACACCCAACACATGCAACAGCAATCACTCAATGCAAATATACTAGAGAGGTGGATAATCTTAGAATTCTATTTCAATTCACGTACATCATAACATTCTAGCAAATTACTTATTTTGACTATAAAAACACTCGTCTTATTTCCCATCTGACAGTAATTGATCAATAACACTCACATTATTATTTCTGAATGTACATTATCCTATGTTGGCTTTTATTCAAATGTCTGATCATCAATTTCACTCATGTATATAAATGAAGCAAGAAAGTAGTGTGAGTACCTTGATAGGATTATGAGCAGTAAAAAATTGTGTTCGAAACGTGGTCATCAGTTAATATTACTGTATAACACTGCACTGTGTGACACCTTATCAAAATAAAATCTTATCTACCTATAATGGAGTTATACTCTACCACCAGAGTGCCCAAGTTTTATACTTCTACCGGCTTTATGATTAAAGCTATACACTGCCAAATTGTCAGTCCGGTATAAAATGAGCAAACCGACTTCAGAAATAATGTATTATTATACAAAACAAAACAAAAAACACCAAAAACAACTGGACAAAAACAAACAATGCCCTACCTTACAGCAGTCACGTTTACGTTGTCTTATAAAGCTGATGAACGGTGCTATTCCACTGCCAGCACCAATCATAATCACTGGTCGTTGGGCAGCCTCCTCAGGTAGATAAAATTGTGTTAAATTTTGACGTAAATATATGTGGATAATCGGTATATCTACTACTATGCGTGTGGAAGTATTTTCACCAATAGGTCGACTGACATTCAGCCATTGTCTTTCTAACCAACCACTACACGTGCCATGATGTCTATGCGGGTAACGCAATCTGCTTACAGCAGAATCGTTGTTGTTGTTGTTATGATATTCAAAGTCTACTCTGGTGAAAATGAACGTTAAATCTTGTTCGTCGTCGGATAATGCTTGATCATCATATAAATTAATGAGTGTATACGAACGCGGCTGGAGACGTGGTAAAATTTCTAATAGGCGAATAAAAGGTGGCCGGCACGATGGAAACATATAGAGAATATCCAAAAGATTGAGTTGTGGCTTTACAATGTAACTGCGAGAAAAATGAAAGATTAAAATGAAGACGAAGGAATTGTGAATATATGTGTGTGTAAAACTTGGGCACTGCACTCTGGTAGTAAGTAATTCCATATTAGTTCGTTTATTAGATGTATCACACAGTCAGTGAAACAGTTTTACTTACTGGACGACGATTTAAACAAGATTTTTTTTCATTGTTCATAATCATATCATCAATTATAATCACACGACTTCCAAACTTGAGTTTTATAGTTTTCTTTATTCTCTCCTCTTTTTCGTCGTTGGGGTAGTAAAATTTCCTAGATATCTGGATGGACAGATGTTGAATCATTCCTATTACGCGTATTCTCTTCAGTTGATTCGATAAACAAAATTTCCGTTGTCAATCTGTCCCTCCATCATGTTAGTTGTATTAGATTTTGAAACCGTCATCTTCCACATCCTATTCTATGGTTGTGTGTAATTGCATGTGGTGAGTGCTATAGCTGAACTATTCTCTAGATTTCTTATCTTATTCGGGTCAACTAATCTAGATGTTGCTAGGTTTTATGCTTCGCTAGTCTCACTGACTGATCCTGTTCTACTACTTTGACCTATGTATTTAACCTGACGATCATCGCAGGGAGGGTATTAGATAAACTAAATTGCTTTGTTTTATTGGCTCCACTGGCAGGATCCACCATTTAACAGAAAAAGCTTGTTTCTAATTGAGTTTGTGGTTAGTTTGAATGCCAGCAACTTTTATTCCTGCCTTGTTAAGAATTCTCCTCCGTAAGGTTTCCGAGGTTCCTTCCTTGTATGGAATTACTACTGATGATTTGGATTCCTTATTTTTGGTGTTGTTATTATCCTGTGTATGTTTGACATTCATGTCGTCATTATTATTATTATTACTATAGTTATCACTATCACTACTATCACTATTTATTTTATTTTTACATTTCCCTACATATTTCCTGACTAATTTATCTGAGTAATTATTAAGTTTCAAGGCTTCTCTTATATGCATCACTTCCTATCTTAGATTTACCTTGGTACTACTTAGTTTTTGTGCTCTATCACTTAAACATTTCACCAATCCTATTTTCACTGACGTAGGATGGGATGATCGGAAGTCCAAATATCTGTTTGAATGTATGGGTTTCCTGTAAACACACTAGTGTGTTTAACTTCCCATCTTCTTTACTTTTTATGCTAAAATCTAACATTGGAAGTTCCTCTTCCTGACTTTCAAATTCATAAGTGGATTGAATTGCCTCGACCTAGCAAAATCTAGATTAGTTGACCCCAATAATAAGATAAGAAATCTAGAGAATAGTTCGGCTATAGCATTCGCTACATGCAATTACACATAACCATACAATATGATGGATGGGATAAGATGACAGTTTCAAAATCTAATACAACAAACATGGTGGAGGGAGAGATTGACAACAGAAACCTTGTTTATCGAATCATCTGCAAACACGTGTAATAGGAGTGATTCAACACCTGTCCATCCAGATATCTGGAAAATTCTACTACCCGAACGACGACAAATAGGAGAGAATAAAGAAAACTATAAAACTCAAGTTTCGAAGTCATGTGATTGTAATTGATGAAATGATTATGAACAATAAAATTTTGTTCGAAATTGTGTCATCCAGTAAATAATACTGTTTCACTGACTGTGTGATACATCTAGTAAACAAACTAATATGGAAGGAAATGTCATTAGATATTTTAGTATTATATACTTTTTATACTATCATCTTATGAAGACATAATTACAACGTCGAAAGCACTGACTATAAGCTCTACTATATTGCAAGCTTAAGAAGAAAGACTGCGTCAATATCAAGCCAAGTGAATTACGCAATCCCAGTCATTTCACCATTACTACTGCGGTGAGACCTGCCTGCAAGAAAAACATTGTAGACAACAATTTACGTCAATGTTTACGTCCCGAATCGGAGTCATGAAAGAAACAAACAATAACAAAGCTTAACCTTGAGGAACTCACCAACCAATCACAGAAGACTTAACGTGGGTGGATACGATTCGCAGATATATGGTCTGACATTTTAAGAAGAGGTAACAAAGAGATGACAGAATAACCTTGAGCAAGAAAACAACCAATCAAAAGGCGTTGATTCTCTGCTAACAATAACGCTGATAATAATGTACATAGAAATCTATAAATATTTCTTGGTTTTCTCAATAAACGATCTGTTGCCTGATCCTAGTCTTCTGTCGTTACACTATGACTTCTTAGATTACCCCCTAGATCTCTACTTCAGTAAATCTAGGAAAACTACTTGAAGAATCTTCTGACACTCGTAAAGTGAAATGTGTAGACTGACTATACTAACCAGGTGGACTCAATTAAGTGAATGGTTAGCTAAAAATTCAGTTACTCGAAAGAGATTTCTTCAGTGTCAGCTGATGGGGCACATATACTGTGTGTGGGGGCAAGCGGGCTGACGATGGTACCCATTTGATGGGTGAAGTGGGACTCGAACACTTCTTAAGACAAAGGCAGTTGACAATATTCCCAATATTCAAGTATTGGTTTGTAGGGATTTGATTGATTGGTTACAGGATTTCAACATGAGTTGACATTGGTTAGATAACCATTGGAAAACCACCTGGGAGTACTGGATAGCCAGTTGTTTCCGTAGGCTAGT